AGCTTGTTAAAAAATCCAGAGAATGTTGGAGATCTCTTCCTTGGCTTTCTTGTATACCCAAAATGTACTTGCTTTCAAGCTCCCAACTTTTGTCAAAGCTTTCTCCATTTCCAATAGATTTCAAAAAAATGGTACAACCAAAACCACTGCTCCTCCTTTGTTAAACTTTTGTTCTAGACTTAGCAATTCAGAACGCACTGTGTGACTGTGTGTGGACCGTGGAAGGAGGAATGGACAAGAAGATGATAGACTCCGTCCACTTCTTTCGGTGTCATCATTTTCATCACATTTCACAACTCATCGTACACTTTTCTCTTTTTTCGTTCCACCTTAACTAATGAGAAACAATCAAAGCAAAAGGAATCACAAAAAGAAAGCCATGCATTAAGTTCCCCCAAAAATTCGGCGGACATTTTTCACTCTTTTGATTCCCATAGTTTTGGCTTAAAAAACCCATGGAAGAGCAATTTCAAAAAATCATATGAAAAACGACACTATTAGATGTACGAGCTACTCCCTTATGATAGCTATTTAACTAGTGGATGCATGGGACAAAATTTTATATATTTGATAGAGTCCATAAATTTTGTTTTAATTATTGATACTTTATTAGTTTATGGACTTGGATATATTTAATTCATTGATTTTGTCATTATTTCATGTTAGGAGATGAAAATAAGAGATTGAAGGTGTTCTGGGTTAAGTTGGACGATTAGGGACCTGATTGAAAAATTGAAGAAGTTTTGAGGCAAACGTGATAAAGACGTAAACTTGGAGGACAAAACCACAAAATTCGGGATTCCTTTCTCTTCCTGTTCGGCTGACCTAAACCCTGAATAAAAAGAGACACTTATATTTTATTTTTAGGGCAGCCGTACGTGAGGCGAACCTAAGAACCTCAAACCTTTTATTTTTTTCAATTTTTCTTGAATTTCCATGGAGAATAAAACCATCATGTTTCCGTCCATGAGTGGCTAAGGATTTTTATTACTGATTCAAGGGATTAATTCAGTTGTTTCATTGTGAGGTTATGCTTTAATTTATCTTTATTACGTTTAGTTCTTGTATTTGTTGATTCTTGGTTTTATTTCATGAAAGTAGATATCATTCAAATTGACAACTTGATTTGATTTTTACTTTCTATTGCTATCCATTGGTTGAATGTTACGTAATAGACACGAACCATTGGTACTAGGTAGCAATTAGACGAAGATGTGTATTAGTGAGACATAGAATGCACATGCTAGTTTAAATGTGGAATCAACAAGACAAAATTAATTAATTGTAACTACCTCTGTTAATTGGTTTTGGTTCAACTAGTTCTTGTGTGTATTGCTATTGTGGCTAGACATGGAACGCTATCGTGCCCAGTCTTTCATAGCAAGATTTGATTAAATACTGGGTTTGGTCAATGTTTCCAGAGAAGTTTAAATTTGTTATGGCTATCCTAATAAATTTGGGGGTTGAATACTTGAATGTAAGAATGCTTTTTTTTGACCTATGATCAGTGAAATAATTGAGTTGTCCGTTCCTAAGATCAGTAGTTTGTTACTTGGATTTACTTTCTTTTATTTAGTTTTTGTTATTTGTATTTCATTATCTTAGTTTAGAAAAACAATCCAAAAATCTCCTTTGCATTAATTTGAAGGAAACAATCCATCGTTCCCTAAGGAGACGACCTTACTTCCCTATATTACAGTAGGTTGAAGTAGGTTATTTTATTTGTGTGGATTTGACACTCCATCAATATTACCCAACAATTTTTTTGTTTCCTCAAAGACATGAAATATCAGGAAAATTGTGAATATTTCATGCAACTAGACAAAGTAACTAGTACTCTCAGACAAAGTAGAGGTCCGATTTACATGTTAATAAGGGTCAAAGAATAATTACTAAATTTTGCATCAGGAAAATGTCCATTTAAAATATTTTAATTATATAATGTTTGAAGGTTTTCCCTCGTATCCTTTATTGCATCGACACCGATAACCCAATGAACCTTTCTCTACGTAACACTCCCTATAAACCCCACATGCATAATTGCTCTATTTTGTCGTGAACCCATCGTAATTGTTGTAGGAAATCACCGAGTCCTCGATCACCGGAGGAGTTTCAACACTTTCTAAATGCATGAGATTATCAGTAGAAAACTGAAAAGTATCCTCGGCAACCACAAAAGCGAAACTACAAGGATCGAAATTTTTGACTGAACTGTGATTAGAGGAGCTAGCCAAAGTGACATTAATCTTCCGGGGTCCACTTGGTATCGACGTTTGGCGACAACCGATATTCGAACACGAACCATCCTCAACATCTTCCTTGTAATTACATAAAGACGTACGTGCATCCGGATGCAGTAGTGTATTTCTCGAAGTAACTTGTACCTTGACAATGGTTGTGGATATATATGTTAAAATTATTAAATGAGTCATCGTCAATTTATGTTACCTTTGTTTTCACAATGATGTCATACTAATTGCATAAATTCATAGTGGCTCAAAAAGAAGGACAATATTTGATTTAATTTATAAAATCATTCCTTTATACTACCTCTGCTTGCTTTTATCTGTTGTTTATGATGAACCAAAAACTTTTGTTTAAACGTGACAGTTTATTTTCAATATAACATTTGTAATTTCATTACTTTTTCTAATAACTTTAAAAGCAAATTATTCTAAAATAGGCTAACATGATTCGTGGCCAAGATTGAAAGTTATCAAGCTTAAATGGACATTTTGGTGACATGTGTCCAATTATAAGTAGTAAAAGAAACCCACAAGTATGGGCCTTCTCCAAACTTTGAGAGACTTGTGACTGTTGTTGCTTATTCATTTTTGTCCATAAAACCATCAAATTCCCTATAAGAGGACAATAATTTGGCACCCTTGGATCTATCCCCATTCCCCCCTCCCCCAGCTAGGACCATGACTTTTTAATCAAAAGCAGAAACTTAGGAAAGCATACATCAAGGACTTCTGCAACATATCGGGTTATGCTCCTTTTTCATAATTATTATCTTGTACTCCCGTTTGAATGTTTATTTTTAATTCAAGTTGTAATAAAAGATAATTTAAACTGGATAATCATTTCATGATAGAAGGAATATTAATTTTCTCTCTATTGTTCAAAGTTTATAGGATACATGGTAATAGCGGGTAGATACAACTTGTTTATATCGTAATTGTCATTTTATTTGAAGTATTTTTTTATATTTTTTTGGTTCCCATTTCAATAATAATTTAAATTTTACAGTTATTTTGAGATAGGCTTGTAAGATCTGCATTATCCACTAAGATAATTGTCAAAATTAGACTGTTACTGTATCTGTCCCAAACAAAAAGTCATATTGGGGTTTCAAATTTTTAACTATTCCATTAACCGACACACTTTTAACATTTAATGCACGTTTGGTCTTCGATCTACACGTAGAATCTCGTGAGACCATATTTTCTCGTCCGTACAAACACTCTTCAAATCCTTGTAACTTGGTAAAACTGCAGTCTTTGGCAAGACAAACAGCGCACACGCCTAAATGATGTGCGAGAATTCTTAATACCAAACTACAAATGTTTAAGGTTTGCAGTAATGGTATCAATATTAATATTATAACGTCCAAAACACATGCATGTATGTTTCCTTAAGGATGCAAAATGTGATGAATTTAGAAAATGTAGAACTGATTGATAATCACCAAATTCATGCATCACATTATGTAAATGATGCCATTTATGGCAAAAGATAGAATTTTCTTTATTTGCATAAATTGGTGTTGAATAAATGTCAAGCTTTTCCATTAGAAAAGGCAATGGTTAACAAAGAAATTCCGTGATTAAAGTTGAAATATCTATTGAAGAACTTAAATAACTTACATTGAATCGCATTTTGTAATTCGATAGATTTATGTTTTGCTAACATGCAGTTGCCTTTGTATTTTTGTATCTGGAATCTCTCCAAACCTTGTTTTTAGAGTACAAGGAGCAGTGTTATTAAGCTCGGATCGAACCGGCCAATCGAACTAGTTTGATCGCTAATCGGACCTTAAGCTGAGCCGAGCCAGACATAAAGTCGCCATTATAAGACTTGGTCAAAACCGGTTAATACTTCGGACGAGCCAGGAATTGGTCTGAAGCGGGTCGGCCAGGAGCTTCTCAATTTCTTGAATTTTTGACCAAATTTTGCATTCCCTCCCTCCCCCCCCCCATAAATGTTCACCTTTTTCAAGGTCATCTTTCTTTTTGTTCAAAAATGACTCATAGCTTATAATATTTGTTTTGTTTAAACTATTGATATGTCATTTTAGTTCCTAATTTTTACGTTCAAGTTTCCACTACTAAATGCATGATTTTGAATTTTTTATTATTTATACAAACTACTCTCACCATTTAAATAAAATATAAATTCTAACTCAAATATGTTGAAATTGATTTTTTTAACAAAGAAACAAATTTATTAATAATAAATAAAATAAAATAGGGCAGCGAATATACTAACTCTATAGCAAATACAATTTTAATACAATTTATTAATGTTGAAATTGATTTTACATGAGATTTTTCTTAATTTTTAAAGTCAATTGTCGTGCAATTAGTTTTTTTTAAAAAAAAATTATCATTTATTTGTTATAATTACTTTATTAATGTACTTATTAATTCACAAAAATTTTAATTAACTACTATAAAGAATTAATATGAACTATTACAATAGGAAAGGGATGTAAACTATTGTTTTTTAAAAAAATTTCAGTATTTTAAATAACTAATAAATATTATTATTGATTAATAATGAGGTCATCCGAATCGACTCCCGAGTCAAGACAAATTGACCCCTTGAGTCACCTGAACTCTGGCTCTTCCGAGTCAACTTCCAGGCCGAATCTGACTACACTGCCAAGGAGAAGTCTATTCAACACAGACACATACGACACCACACACACACAATGTTTTCCTCGATTAGACGTATTAACAAGCTCCATTTTCGCTCTATGATCCACTATATGATGCGCGTTAATATGTTGTTCAAGAACACAGTATTACTAGCATGTTTTTTTTGTTGTATGAAAAAAAAAAAAGAAAAAGAAGCTCCATATTTGCTTGTGTCAAAGCTCTAGCTAGCCACATAAATCCTCAACAAAATATTGAGTGCATTACATGTTCCTTATACATCATATATATGGAGGACCTATACACAACAATGCACGCACCACTAGTTTTTTATATAGAAATAAACTTGCATGATTTCTGCAGCTAACTAATAACAACAGTAATCAATAATCAGATGCTTATTCTATTTAGTGAGTTTAAATATTGGAAGCATACACTTGGCAAAGGTAAAATGGTGATTTTTCAACACTTATCTTCCACCAGGCATCGTTAACAATGGTTGCTCCGCGATGATATATGACGCAGAATATTGGCCGCTAGATGTAGAACCATCCCAGCTGCCATATCCAATTGACTGTAAATCACGTAAGGCTTCGCTTTTGGAGGAATCAATCTCGAAGACTTGAACTGATGTATCCCTAGCTTTCGCTCCCAATATAACAAGTTCCCTTTCGACATCTTTCATACATGGTCTATCCTCGCCTCTTACACTGATGCATCTCTTTGCTATCATCGCAACATCATTTAGTTGCTCCATGTTTTCAGGACAAGATATGTTATTGTCAAGAACTTGAGCTAAAAGGTTTTCTTTCAAAGAAGAAAGGAAACCATTTGACAGGAATTTCTCGGCTACTGGCTTATCAGATGCCAATACCTTCTTGCCTGTTATGAGCTCTATCAGGACAATCCCAAAGCTGTAAACATCACTTTTCTCAGTTAATAGACCCGTTTGCATATATTCCGGGTCTAAATATCCAAGTGTGCCTTGCACCATTGTAGCAACTTCGAAATTATCATCCAATGAAAGCAATCTTTATATCCCAAAGTCAGATACTTTTGCAGTGTAATTGTGATCAAGCAGTACATTGGACGATTTAATGTCCCGGTGGATGATTGGAGGGGAAGCGACAGAGTGCAAGTATGAGAGCACGCCAGCAATTTCTGATGCTATTCGCAAACGAACTTTTCAAGAGAGCTTTGATGCTTTGACTTTGTTGTGCAAATGCTCAAAGAGTGTCCCATTGTCTATGTATTCATACACAAGCAACGGCACTTCTGTCTCTAAACAACAACCAAGCAGCTTAACGATATATCTACTATTGATTTGGGAAAGTAACATCACCTCATTAATGAATTGCTCAACTTGGCGTGGGTCAACTCCTCTAGACTTTTTGATTGCCACCACTGTTTTGTCCATCAACTCTCCCTTGAAAACTGTCCCAAATCCCCCGCAACCAATAATCTGGCTGTCGTCGAAATCATTTGTGGCCTTTTGTAATTCTTCATATGTGAAGATTTTGGTACTATAAGTGCCTCTTGATTGACCGGAATGAAGTTTTTGCTGTAAAATGATGCCACCATTTTTCTTGAAAAACTCTTCTCTTGTCCTCTTTTCCTTTCTTCTCATCCATTCAGCGTAGAAACAGAATGAAAATATGAGTAAACACACTGCACTTCCGCTTAGACCAACACCTGCATCCAAAATTGTTGCACGTGTATGTATAAAATTTTCACTACCGGTTTAATTAAATTGATATTCCAAATGGAATTATTTATTAGTTAAACGACATGGACCAGGAATTATCATACATGTGTTAAGCGAACCATCAAGGGAAACTGTAAACCTAAAGTTAATTTCATTAAACGGCATCAATTCCATTAATTAACGTAAATATTATAATATGTCTCCATTTCAAAAAACACAGAAAAAAAAAAAAGAAAAGAAAGACTAACCTACAATAATAGCCCAGTTGTTATTTTTCTCAACGCATCGTCCCTCGGCATCTTGATGGTAACCTTTCTTGCAATTGCAATAATAACTTCCAGTAGTGTTAATACAAACACCATTTTTCCCACATTGATCAGGATTACCACACTCGTCAATATCTGTAAATTTCGAAACGATTACAAGCAAAAGAAAAATGCAAATAGATCCTGTATAATATTAACTGTGATTAAAATGAGAGGAATGAAAAACCTTAGAAAATATACCTTGACAACCAAGATAAGGGTTTCCTTCATATCCTTTACTGCACCGACACCGGTAACCCAAAGCTCCTTTCTCAACATAACACTCACTATTTTCCTTACATGCATAATTGCTCTTGTTTGTTTTCGCCTCATCGCAATTATTGTGTGAAATCACCCAGTCCACAATCACTGGAAGAGTTACAACACTCTCTAGATTGGTAAGATTGTCGGCGGAAAACTGAAAAGCATCCTCAGCAACCACAAAAGCGAAACTACAAGGATTGAAACTCGAGACAAATCTGTTATTAGAGGAGCTAGCCAAAGTCACATTAATCATCCGAGATCCACCTGGTATGGAAGTCTGGCAACATCCAATACTCGAACACGAACCATCCTCAACATCTTCCTTCAAATAACAAAAAGACGTGCAGCCGGACTTGGTATTGTAATCCCGGAAGTAACTTGTACCTTGTCAATTAAATATATGTATTAGAAAAAACCCTGGAAGTAACTTGTACCTTATCTATTGGATATATATGTTAGAAAAAGAAAATAAGTGGGTTCCCTCCGTCCTAAAATTATTGTTTAGTTTGGATTTTCATTTCTAGTACAAATTAAACTAAAAGTGAAAATCCAAATTAGAATTAACTTGGAGACAGTAGAAGTATAAATAATAATCAAAATGCAAATAATAATACTGCAATACCTTCAACTACACCAATAGAGTCACAACCAATCACAGTGAACTTATTGCCGGTGCTATTGAATATAAAAGGATCACCAAGTTTAATCCAGGGATGATTGGGATTGACCTTTTGATCTCCTTCACCATAGCAATCATATGCTACGTAATTCGGGGTGCGAAACTGTCCCTCCAACGATATATTCGTAATTGGATAATGAGTCCCGGAAAAATTCAGTTGGGAAGAGTTGCATTCCACTGAGAAACTCTGACTTTGATCCAGGTAACAACCTTCTCCGATCCCAAATGGAAATGGAATACTTTCATTACCGCATCGATCCAGACAACCAGGCTTTGCTATGGGAAAATTATAAGCTGAAGAAGAAGAAGAAGAAGAACAAGAATTTAGTAAAATGAACAAAACCACCAGCAACAAGGGGTTGGAAACCATGGCGCGGAAGACGTGTAAATTTTGTCAGTGCTATATCTTAATTTAATCTTATAACCTTTGCGATTTTGGTAGAAAGTCTTCTCGAAGTCTATATCGGTCAACCCCCCGAATTTTCAAAGACAAAATGCCGAAGACAAAAGGAACTACGGAAAGAACCAAAGACCCGGCGGTCTCCGTGGACTATGTGGTCCAAAGAATTGGGCAAAATTTTTCAAGCTATGATAATTGTAAATTCGTGCATATATCGTTCTTCCTAACTATAATTAATGTTACCACGTTTAATCCCAACGGTAATTTATCAATACAATAGCTCGAGTTCAATATCTGCTTAACGGACAACGAATTCAATCTCAATGACGGAGCTAGAAATTTAAGAAAAAGAGAGCAAGATTTACAAACAATAACTATAAAAACATTCGTAACAGGTTTGAAAATGAACTAATCAATACATGTATAATATTTTACTAAAATTCTAACATATCTCTACCAATAAGTAAAACAAAATAGAGAAAGGTGCTGTCGCACCGACCAGTTCCCTAGTACAGTCACTGACGAGCATCCTTATTTGTTGACTGACTAATTGTTGATACGAGACTACAAACTTAAGTCAAAGAAAACTAAAACGACTATTCCACTTTGGCAGGCTTTGTAATAGCACCGCTACTTGTTTGATAATGTCCGTTGTCCAGCATGCATGCATGTTTTCTTTCCACATAGATTTTTTGACGAATTTGAAGCTTACAAATGTAATTCTACTAACTATTGATTCTGTGAAGATCTGCAAATATAATTTTTTTAAATTTGTTTAATCTACGAACGACTCGAATTTAAGGTATCTACAATCTGTTGATTCAATAACTGAATAAAAAAAGGTAGGCTCCAAATCTCTACCGAAAGCTTAGGATGAAAGAAATCGGACACAATTTTAATCAAAATTCAACAACCGTATACAAATGAGGTGGCCGAAACCATTGAATAGAAAAGAAAATAATAGAATCCTAAATAAACTAATATAAAGTTATCAAAATATCGATTGAAAATAATAATTAAAAGCCTGTCTTATGTCCGGTCCACGATTACATCATTTTGATATATACCGAACTCATCTATAAGATGTATAGGAGAAGCCACGCATGCAGGGTCAATGATGTAACTCTCTCTGGCCATAATAATAATAATAGCAAAAATAAATAATTTATTTTATTTATTATTATAATATAACAGAAATTTTTATTTTTTGAGACGAGACAATAGTATGGAACTCAATAAATGAATATATAGCGTGTTCAAGTTGGAAAATTTTCAGGTCTTTCTATATGCACAGAATAGGTCAATGATTACTTAATTGATTTTTTCAATTCCCATCAAGAAGAGGCCAATCAAGAATAAATTATGATTAAACTACTAATTATAGTATTAGCAGTGCTAGAAACAGTGAAAAATCATAGTGAAAACTAATAGTGACTGATGTATACAAACTAATTAAGGTTAAAAATATAAATTTAATAGGAAAAGATATAAGTTCTACCACAAAGTGCCACCAAAATAGGGGACCAACTAAATCACTATAATTTTTCACTATATATTTGTCACTATGAATATCATTTTCCTTATAGTATCCATCCAACTCTTCCAATTAAAAGTGAGTCGTTATGTCCATTCTTAATTGGAAAAAGTTCTCCTTTTCCTCTAAACACAAAATTTTCTCTTGAAGCAATTTAAAATTTGTAGGGAATTCACGTTCTGACAATATTCTTCCAATTAAAAGTGAATTGTTATGTCCATTCTTAATTTTTTCGATGACAATATTATTTGTCTAAAATTAATAATGGGTGGGTGGTGGTGGTAAGATGAAAGTGAGTTATTCACCCCGCACCGAGCCTAAATGCCTAATCGATTGTGGAATTAATATTCTTAGATGTGTCTCTGATTGTCGTAGTGTTTTAATTTTCATCTACCATCACCATCCACCCATTATTAATTTTAGACAAATAATATTGTCAGCGAAAAAATTAACTTCCACACCCACCCATTATTTATGGTCAATTCCAGCATCTCGTTTAGCGTCTCCGTTCATCTGCCTACTCTATCCATTAATCTTATAGATTTCTCTCTTTTTTTTTTCTTCCCCTTCAATTCATCAGTTAACTTTCACCAATTGAATGATTTGTGTATTGCTTCTCAAGTTCAATCAATCTACTACTAAACACAATGCTACATGCATGTTTGTGGAACTCGGTGTCGACCATTCTTATTTATTAAATCAATTTTCAGTATTTATTTTTCATTTTTCTGGATTTTCATGAATGGTGATCAGTTCACTGTTATCTAATTACTCACTTCATATTTGTTTCTAGTGGGGATGCTGTACACATACAATTTCCATTAGTTTTTTTTGTGATTTAGGACTTTTTTTTTTTCCCTGAGATTCCATCTGACTATTGGACAATTTCTCCAATTCTCAATCATATACATGTCTCTCATTCTTAATTATTTTGGAAGGACATGACCCATTGATCTGTGTTATGAGAAACATTGGAATAAACAAACTCGTAGAAGTTTGACACCCAAAACCAAAAAAGAAAGAGAAAAATAATAGTAGAATGGGTGAGAAAACGATGGTTGACTAGCAAGGTAAATTGGGCATTGGAGCAACATTCTGCTCTGGAAATTAATTTTTGATCTGACAATATCACCGGCTATAATTATATTATTAAACTTATAATTTTCCTACTAAAAGAAATGGAAAACAATAAACAAATAATTTTGCAATAAGAAAAAGAAATCGCGCGCGCACTTGTAGAAACTAACACAAAAGATTACAAAATGCCCAGGATTTTATGTCTTTATTTAATTTTCCACAAGAAGACGGAACGAATCATCCTTTTGAAAAATAGTGAAATGACTAGTTTCACTTTCAACTTCAACGTCAAAACACATCACTCAGCTCTTCTTATTTCCAGGAGTTTCCGTTTATTACTTTTATCAATGACAAAGTCACATGCAACATTATGTACTGTATCATTTGTACACAAGCAAAAAGTCTCTTACATACGTACTCCGTCGTCATATCATTTTCTTTGTTTGTGATCTCACATTCATTACACACATTGTGCGTAGTACAAGCAAAAAGTCTCTTATTTTGATCCATAAATAATCGACTGATTGATAAAATGCTAAAAGTCATATAGAACATTATGTTATTTGAATCATTTACCAGCAGGTATCCCTCGTCAATGTAGACATTTCAATTCTAATAATGTAATTATGCACCTTCTGCACGTGATCGGAGAAGTTTTGGAGTTCAATAGGAATAAAAGAGTGGCTTAGTTTGTTTTAAATCTATAGTATATAAAGAGAAAAATTAGAGAGAGAAACCAAAAAAAAATAATCATAATAATAATCTTAAAGTGACATATGATATTTTATCTCGTGTGGCATTTTTTCATGAATTTAATTAAAAAAATAACTTGTCGTAACTATAAGAAAAGCCGCATATCTTTAATCAATTATAATTTAAGTATATTTTTAATTATTAAAAAACCCTTATTACTTTAATCAATTATGATGAGACAATTACGTATTTTACGCGTACAATCATTTTGTTTCTTTTATTCAACTTAATGTTAATATGATGTTATTTACTTTTAGTCATATAATGTTTAGGATTACCGTGTTATTATCTATTTTCTCCTTCAATAAACTAAAATTTCATGTGATGAGTAAATTTAATCTTTTGAATTTCAATCATATAAGCAAATTTTATTAATTTACACCTTTATTTACTTTAAGTCATATGTATAATTCATACTTTTTAAATTTTTAATTTCGATAATGTATATAAATTAACCCCGCACAATCAAGTAGCTTGTTATAAGAAATTATTTACGTCAACTTTGTCTGCATCTGTTATATATCGCTAATGAGTGTTGCCTATATTCTCTGTTAAAATTGATACTTGAAAATTAGACTATCATCATAATTATGTGACAGATGGCCCACGCCGTGTTTCCATTTGGTTAGTCATTCATTCTCCTATATATAATAATAATAATAATAATAATAATAATAATAATAATAATAATAAAAGAATGAAAATAAAAATAAAAATAAAATAAAATTATAATGCTTAATTAGTTATATCACAACAAATATAGCTCTCATGCCCGCCGGCCGGCCAGTAATACTTTGTAGTACATGTGTTAGAAGCTGACGCAGTATTACTAATCGAAGGTACCCGCATGAACCTACCAACTACCTTTGTTCAAATTTATTAGTAACACGAGATTGAAATTTATTTAGCAAAAAGTTCAATTTCAAGCCTTTTCTTGAAGGGAAAAAAAGGGAAAATATCATTTTTGTTAATTAGTTATTTTCGTTTGGCATGTTACTGTTTTGTTTTTCTCTACATGATCTCCCAGCCTTTTGTAGGCTCAGGTCAATTCAAATCATTGGCCAATGTTTTCTACACAAGAAAATTGGTGCCCCTTTGTACTTTAATTAATACTAAGAAAATTATATACGTGTCGCGGGACCAAATAGTAGAAGTTAGATTCCGAAGTTAAACCACGTATGCTAATGGAAAAAAATAAAAAATCAATTTCATAAATGATTATATAACAAGCGTATCATGGGTTACCCCTCCGATTGACTAAATAGCCAATTAGGTGAATTTTCCTCTATTAATATTAAGATACCGACTCTGCCCTGATGTGATTGAATTGGTCTGTATGATGATTACATCATCTAACTAACCTTGAATACTGAACAACACTGTATCTGCATAGCAAGGAAATAATAATCAATAAATCAATGATGGTATATTACAAGTTCTTTGTTCATCCCATGAAACCTATATGCTTTTACAAAGATTCAGCTCCATAAAATAAGACATCAAGCTTTTTACCTTTTTTTTTCCTTCTTGGTTAAATAAAAATATTCACTTTTCTAATTTTTTGAGTGTTCAAAAGCTGAAAGCGAGAACGGAAGCTGAGAAAAAAGAGATTGATGTTATTTGTAATGTCAAGATCCAGATTGTCCCTAGGAAGAAAGTCCTAGCAATTAGATGGATCCCCCCTGACCCTGGAGAAAAAGTTCTAAATACACATGGATCTACTCTAAGTCAACCTGGTCAAGCGAGATGAGGATTCTTGATTCGAGATAACAAAGGAATGCTATTTCGTGCAAAATGCAAATACATGGCAATTGCTGGTAGCCTAGAAGCAGGACTAGTTGGAATCCTTAATGGGCTGCGATTTTATAAAGAGAGAAACATGAATCGAGTAATCGTGCAAACAGATAACATGGTAATAGTCAATACTCTCAACGGTAAAGGCATATTTTCTTGGCACTTACATTTTATCGTTAAGGAAATTCAAATTTTGCTTAAATCTTCCAACTCAAAAATTGTTCATATATATCGGGAAGCTAGTGTTATGGCGAATGAATTAGCAAAGTGGGCTGCGAGTGGAGTTATTACTCACTATACTCACCAAGATGAACTTCCAACAACTCTATGAGAGAAGTGGTATTTGGATAAATGCTCTTATAGTAAGCAAAAGAGATGCCATCGAATTATAAAATATCTTTGTAAGACATCTTCTTAGTTAAAGCAATTATAGCTGCCATGAGATTAGTACATGAATCTTTATTAGGCAGATTCATTTCTTTTGGGTAAGTTTTAAGCACTGCTAGTGTAATATCTTTTTTTATTATTAATAAAATTGATGAAATGCCCGTCAGGTACCACCCTGGTTCTCTTTAAAAAAATCACTTTTGTTTGATAAACAATCATCATTTCAAATCCGTAGAAGGCATGCACACACCAGAAAATCTTAGCAATAAAAATCTTCACCTTTCCAAAGATAATATATCAATTACTACTACTAATCAATAGTCGCGCACCAGTCTACTCTATTTTGGGTTTTATTATAGAAACATACTTGTGACTATGGTATTAATTTTTACACTTCATCTACCACTCAATATTGTAGTATCCAACAATGGCTGCTGTGTGGTGATGTAAGAGGCGGAATATTGGCCGGTAGATGAGGAATCATCGCAGATCCCATAATCAGTTGACTGCATACCAAGCATGGCTTTATTTTTGGAGGAATCAATCTGGAAAACTTCAATTGATATTTCCTTGGCTCTTGCTGCCAATAAAACGAGTTCCCTTTCCACATCTCTCATACATGGTCTCTCCTCACCTCTCACACTAATGCATCTTTTTGCAATCATCGCAACTTCGTTTAGTTGTTCGATGTTATCTGTGCAAGATATGCTACTGTCGAGCATTCGGACCAAATGATTTTCTTTCAAAGAAGCTAGGAAACCATTTGATAGGAATTTCTCAGCCTCGGATTTATTAGATTCCAATACCTTTTTCCCTGTTATGAGCTCTATCAGAACAATTCCGAAACTGTAAACATCACTCTTCTCAGTTAGTATACCTGTTTGCATGTATTCGGGGTCTAAGTAACCAAGTGTTCCTTGCACCATTGTTGCCACCTCATCATCATCTGAAGAAATTAATCTTGATATCCCAAAATCAGATACTTTTGCAGTGTAATTGTGATCAAGAAGTATGTTTGAAGACTTTATATCCCGATGTATTATTGGAGGCGAAGCGATAGAGTGCAAGTATGAGAGCACTCCCGCGATTTCTGATGCTATTCGCAAACGGATGCTCCAAGAAAGCTTTGATGCATTTGCTTTGTGGTGCAAATGTTCAAAAAGTGTCCCATTGTCAATGTATTCATATACAAGCAATGGCACTTCTGTCTCTAAACAACAACCCAGCAGCTTTACGACATATCTACTATTGATTTTGGAAAGCAACAATACCTCATTGATAAATTGGTCAACTTGGCGTTCATCAACTCCTTTAGACTTCTTGATTGCCACTACCTTTTTGTCTACCAACTGACCTTTGAAAACAGTCCCAAATCCTCCGCGACCAATTATTTGGCTTTCATTGAAATCATTTGTGGCCATTTGTAGTTCTACATGTGTGAAAATTCTAATGCCTCCTCCTTGTGTTGAACTGAGTTTTTGTTGTAAAATCTCCCCGCCATTTTTCTTGAAAAAATTTTGTCTAGACATCATTTCTTTTCTTCTCATCCATGCGGAGTAGAAACAAAACAAAAAGACAAGTAAAAACGCTGCACCCCCACTTAGGCTAACACCTACAATCAAAATTGTCGAGAAACACCTTAGTTTAAAGATGGTACCTTATCGAATTTCTAACACAAACAAACTTCAAACATAAAGTTCTAGATTACATTGAGAATGGTCGATTAACACAATAATACTTACCTACGATAATAGGCCAAATTTTCTTTTTGTTGTTAGCAACACATCTTCCATTGACATCACTGTCCTTATGGTACCCTTTAATGCAATTGCATTCATAACTTCCCACGTTGTTAGTGCATGCACCATATTTTCCACATTGGTTAGGATTCCGACACTCATCTATATCTGCAAAATTGAATTAAAACAATTACAACCAAAGGAACAAATAGATCATACTCGGCCTGACATATGTATCTTGAATTAAAATAATATAAAAACACGACCCTTTTTTGACATAGACGGCGTATTATTTAAGCAAAATAAGATTAAAATGAGGGGAAATAGGATTTAATGATGAAGAGTTAATTAAATACCTTGGCAACCTAGATAAGGGTTGCCCTCGTATCCTTGATTGCACCCACACCGATAACCCAAAGTTCCATTCTCTACGTAACATTTGGTATTCATTCCACATGCATAACTGCTCTTGTTTGTTTTGGCCTCGTCGCAGTTATTGTTTGGAATCGCCCAGTCCACGATCACCGGAAGAGTTTCGACCCCGACCAAGTTGGTAAGATTATCAACAGAAAACTGAAAAGCATCTTCCGCAATCACAAAAGCAAAACTGCAAGGATTGAAACTCGAGACGAAACTGTGATTGTAAAGGCTCGCCAAACTAACATTAATCTGCCAAGCTCCATTTGGTATTAATGTCTGGCAACAACCCATTCCGGAACACAAACCATCTGTGACATCCGCCTTGCGATTACATAAAGAGAAGCACCCGGTAGCGTAATCCCCCAAGTTGGTTGTACCTTTGTCCATTGGAACATGTCAAAGACATTGAATGAATTAGGTCTGGCTATTTAACTTTATAAATTTATAAATTCAACGTCTCTAACATTACTATACTTGATAAAATAATACCTTGAACTGCAGCGACGGAGTCACAACCAATAACAATGAACTTGTTGGCTGTGCTATTGAAAGTATAGGGATACCCTAGGATATTCCATGGAGTATTAGACTTGGTACTTTGATTGTGTTGATCATAACAATCATATCCTACGTAATTCGAGGTGTGAAACTGTCCTCCCAGCGATATATTTGTGATCGGGAAGCCGCTGCCCAGAGTGTTCAGTTGGGAAGAGTTGCATTCCACACTGAAATTCGAATATTGATCATGGTAATAACATCCTTCTCCCATCCCAAATGGATATGGAATTCTTTCATCGCCACAACGGTCCACGCAACCGGGCTTGGCTATCGGAAAATCATAAGCTGAATAAGAAGAAAAAGAACTTGAAATCTGGACTAACCAGACAACCAAAAACGTTAGTGATACCATGGGACTGAATTCCATGGGCTGGCACAAGTTTCTTGTTCTTTTTTTCTCTTCTTTTAGTGTTTGGATGAAAGAAAAAACTTGAAACTTGAAAAAACAAATTTCGTGGTCTTATGCTTTGTAAATTTGCTAGAAAGACTACTTATTAAAGTCATCAGTCTAAGTCTTTTTTTTTTTCTTTTTTCAATTTCCTGAAAGAAACAACATGTTAAAATATCAAGTGTATATTCTCTAACTAAATTGCATACCAAAGACCCAGTCCTCGTCTGGACTAAATTTTTAGCAAAATTTTCAAGCTCAATCGTGGGTCCAACCTTTTTCTTTTTCTCTTCTTCTTTTCATCTAGTACATGAATTATGGATTATTTCTAAACAATGCATATCGCACCTTGACTAATCAATGCGCGACATGTGAATTCTTTTCAAAAGTAAATGTACTTGTCTATACAAAAGTTCAAATTTGAAACCTTCAACTTTAGTGAAAACAAGCATGTAATTAACTAATGATCCTAGCAAATGATGTAAGGAGACAAAAATGGAAAGCATAAAAAACTATAAACTAAAGTTCAACAACTATTGCAGGCTTGTACTGGTAAAATATAGTATTACTAAGTCCATTATCTAACATGATGTTAGTTTCCCCTTGATTAAGACTTTAAATATTGAATTTAGAAATTTGGAAAAAGATTTGGTTGATCTATATCAAACTCCGCCATATGATGTCTATGTACAGATGCCATGCATGCGTAGTCAATGATGTAGTAATATAAAATTATACATAGGGTGTTCAAGTTGTGAGTCTTCGATGTCACTCGAGATATATATATAAAAAAAAATATCGTGATGAGTACACATCCGACTTACACAAAATCGTGGTCATCAATGAATAATTTATTTATAAGCTTTCCACGTGAAAAGGTCAATTAAGAGGATATTACATGATTGAATTACCAATCAAATTAACTAGTTTTACGGTATTAAACAATACTTGAGTCAGTAAAATGGGAGTGGAAAAGTCTAGGCGAGTAATGTACTACTCCCTCCGTCCCATAATTATTATTCAGTTTGAGTTTTCATTTCTAGTTTAAATTATACTAAAATTAAAATTTCAAACTGAAGATAATTTTGGGACACATAGAATATTATTAAAGTGGTTTTTTTTCTTCCAAGAGTCTTTTTTATCGTAAAACATTTTAAATTTTATGCAATGCTTCTCTTGTTGCTGGTTTACTCTCCGGCGAATTTGCGTCTAGTTTGCTTCTTGCACACGTTAAAAATTATCTTAATGTTTGTGATGGCATCCTCTTTTGTCTTCTAAAATTTCGGAGACGACAGAACAAATGAGAAATTTTTACGCATACACTTTAATGTAACTGGAGAAGCACAATAGACTACATAAAATATCAAGAATTACTTATGTCTTCATTTTCCTACGCGAAATAGTATTGAACAGAGTCATTTTGGAAATGATAAATAGACTAGTTTGAATTGTTACGGTTTGACCTATAATAAACATCAAAATACTTGATACATAACTTTTAAGCTTTTTTACTAATTCATAAGTGTCAAAATACTTCGTTTTTATTTTTTGTACTGGTTCTCACCAGTTTTGAGAATCAATTGGACCGGTCACACTGGTGGCCCAGATAGATTGCCGATTTGCCTTGCAATCCAGTTTTCAAAACATAGGGTTTTATAAGCCAAGTGGTCACGTATTTCCCTTTTTAATTAGTTGGACATTCCTTCTCCAACACCAGATGTGATTCCGAAGCTAAATAACATTGCAACAAATTTAATTCTCCGGCCGTCAGATGGCCAGTGGCGCTTTGCTAGTTTGCTATACTACAAGTAGACACAGTACTAACATACTAGTAAAAGTCACAATGAACCAAACTACTCTCGTTAAGGTCAATAGTAACATGGGGGGCTTGAATTAAATCCGTGAAGGAAAAAGTGAGACTTTTATAGTTGCCCCAAATCATTATCTGGGAATAATAGAGAGCAATTAAATTCGTGACATTTTTCTTTTCCAGTGAAAGAAGAAACACGGAAAAAATAAATTATGTATAATCCAAATGACTTGCATAGACTAGATGACTGGAGCAGTGACCCAGAAGTAGTCAACGTTTTTTAGCAAATTTTGCAACTTTTCCTTTTCTTTTTTTGTTTGATTTTTATTTTCATCTAATACAGGAATCATGCGTTATTTTTAAGCCATGCATATCACATCCAGACTCATTCAAGCACAATCGTGTGAACCCTCTTTCAGATATATATAAAGATCTCCAAGAGAATCATATGTGTATGCAAAGAACCCTCTTCAAACTTGATCTTAATGATTATTGTTCCGATACGAAAAAGGAAGGCAGACAAAAAAAAAAAAAAGCTGTATAAATCAAAGTTCAAGAATTAAGGCAGGCTTGTATTAGCACATTAATATTGTTATCTCGACGAACATAAATGTTGAATTAGAAATTTGGAACAATATTGATAATGATTTATAGGAAACTCCTCGGTTAGCAGATGTTTGTATAAAATGGCCACTGCTAGAATATGAACTTATAAAGAGCGTGTTCAACTTGTGAGTATTCCAAATTTCCAATTTCCATGTCGCTCGAGATGTATAAAAATATCTGGACAAATACATATCTGACTTATACAAAGTCTAGGTCAATGATTATTTATTAATTAATCATTTAAAATTACCTCAAGAAAAGGTCATTTTAGAAGAGATTACATGAGTGAACTACCAATCAGATCAATTACTTTTATGAAAATAAACAATAATTGAGTCGGTAAAATGAGATGGAAAGAGATATTTTCAAAAATAAAATAAAATACTCCCTTTGCTCCAAAATTACTACCTAGTTTGAATTTTCATTTTTAGTTTAATTTGTAAAAAAATAAAGCTCAAATATGAACAATAATTTAAGAACATAGGAAGTAAAAACTAAAAAAAGAGAGATACAGTATTTGAAAGACGGGTTTGTGATTGTAGGCTAGTGATAAAATTTTAAGTCGACTTTTTAGTAACGGATTATTGCTTTCTCCATTGTAAAAACAATAATCATAAACTAATTAAAGAGAAATTGCCAAGAAGTGTATCGTATCTGCCTTTTCTAATTCTCATTTTCCTCCAAGAAAACTTTGTTCTTCTTAAACATTTCCATTTCACATGTAATGAAATTAAAATTTCAAGGTAAAAAAAAGTGTCGGGCGAATTTCCATTATCCTTGCTTCTACGCGTAAGAAAATTGCCTTAATATTTGTGATGATTTAATTTTTTCCTCCTCTAAAATTTAGAAGAAAACAAAAACAATAATAAATTTTCCACCCACACTTTAATGTAATTAATTCTAGAAACGCAAAATATTGAACAGTCATTTCGAAAAATATAAAAAGACTAGTCTAACCTTATACAGTTCGATCAATAAACGTCAAAATACATTATACGGACATTAATTAGATCTTCTCGTCTCATTGCGTATTCGGTGATTTATTTTCAACAGTCACGAATTTCCCTTGCTGAATTATAGACACTTCGATGGGTGAAACAGTTGGTCAAAATATTTGATGTTGCTCCATGCCCATAGCGAGGTTCGAACCCTCGACTTATGATTAAGGATGAAGAATTCCCTTTCATTCCACCACAATCACTTTTGATTGTATTTGGTGATTTACACTTCACCATGTTGAGTTTTTAACGCTCCCTTATCCTAGTATTTCATGATCGATCTCATATTCATTTTTCAGATTGTACTAAACCACGTTTGGTCCTCTAATTGGCGTCCAATTGGGCTGCCAAACTCTATATTAGCCCATTTTATTTCTTTAACCCGAGCTTGAATGTTTACTGTTTATTCTACTTTCGCAAATTCTTCCACTGTTTTACTTCCTTAAATGGCTTACTTGGTTATAAGTTCATAATAATTCATATATACTTTAAATGTCAACTTCAGTAACGTTTTTTTGAAAACTTTTCTTCTTTTTTTTTTTCCTTTTTTTTCTTTTTTTTTTTCGAAGAAACTTATGGAAGACTTGTAATTGTTGATGAGTAGCTGAGATCCAAGGCAAATTTCTATTTCAACTGAAAGAAATCGCTCGCTGTGTCTGAATGAAGATGAATAAAAGCATAACATGGAATTATCTTGACATTCATTTTGACTGATTTGGTTGCTTGTTGGGGAAAATCGGAGAGAGTGTTTCGAAAACAACCTTTAGATAGTAGAATATAACTACTACGTGGTACTTTCATTGTCTCACAAAAATACTATACATTAATTGTACCAAAAACAGAAATTGTAAATTATTTATACAGGGCAGAATAACTATGACCGAAGAAGTAGCAAAACCTTGTCTCATGTTTCCTATGCTTATAGAAAATAACAAAATATTCAAAACAAAATTTAAAAGAGAGGAAGAAAGAGAAAGTCATGTAGACGATATGACTCGGAGTAGACTATGTAAATAACAAGAATTGTGCCTCTAAAAACCCAAGTATGACTCGGTAGTTAAGTTTGGCTTTCAAAATGCAAATCAAACATGAGAATAAATTTCAGGTAGGAAAAGGTGATTCTATTTACTACGAACATGAAAACTTACTACATCTTAATACCTGATGTAACCCGTGCGTTGCACGGGATGAAAAATATCCGATTTTAATAAATATCACGCTACAAATAAATGTATATATAAATAGAACATAATGTGTATGTAGGACTGTGTTAAAATAAAAAAAAAATGTATTAGTTATAGAGAATGAACAATACAGTTTGAACTTTTAGGAAACTCATGCAGATTTCAAGTTTTGCAGTGAAATAATTTAAATAGTTAAAAATCATATTACTTTAATCGAACATTAAATATACAATTAGGAAATAATTCTCACATTAGAATTGAAATATATGAGAATTAAAATATCACATATTTTGTAATATTTCTTGGTGAACTCTATTTGTAATCTCGTTATCCATCTCACTATCTTTATAACAGAGTAGTATTATTTTTTTATTTTTTGCCAAAAAATCCATCCCAGTAGATGCCACTTAAATGTGGATAAAACCCCCCTCTCTTTACAAACCCCACCCTAGTCTATTATC